GCTGCCCTGCAACCCTGAAGTGGATGAAGGGATCAGAAGATGGATGGATGGATAATTTATCTAGTATTGAATCAATAAAGAAAGCCTGTTATTGTCTAGGGAGTGACTTAATCACAGTGTGGTCTGTACTATCATCTGAACTCATCAGCTTCTAGATAAGATTTCAGAAACAAAGACCAACCTAATGCCCGAGCAAATAAAGAGCATTGCAAATACTGTCCAGACATCAGTAAGGAGATTCAGAAATGAGTTTCACATATGCAGAAATCCACACATGAAATATAAAGATTTTCCCAGGAGATGTAAGTGGTACAAGAAATATTCCTCCTGCATACTGCACTGCTCAAAGAAGAGAATTGCAGCTGTTAATGATGGAGTCACTGTAACAACCATATATTGTATTAAGCGAAGAGCTTATTGGGACAGAAGGATGGAAAGGTAGAATTCTTCCTAAAGGTACTGTAATTTTAAAATGCAAAAATATTAGTTTTAGCTGAAGTGAATATGCACATCTTCCTTGGGAATAAAAGCCTGTGGAGTGAATGCCTAGGCATACATTGTGTTGTTACAGAAACGTTCTTGCTCCAGGATGAGAGTGAAAACAGATAGGCTTTATTGTATGCATACAGGAAACACCTCAATAGCAGAGATGTTCAGGGAATACAAAGAAAACAGTTACCTTTGACAGGGTGTATGGTTAAGATCATGTTTCAGAACAAATCAGCTATTAAGAGAAGTTTGAAGTTATCTGTCTTGCCAGAATTTCCAGGGGTCATGTTGCCTTCCCTCCTTACAGCCTTGAGATAATCTAAAGTTTCAGAGAAAAACAAAATATATGATATGGCCAGTGGCCATATCACTCTGCAACTCACAACTGGCAACCCATTGAAGCTAAGCTGGTGTGAGCCTGGTCAGTACTTGGAAGGAGACCTCCTGGGAAAAACTAAGGTTGCTGCTGGAAAAGGTGTTAGTGGGACCAACAGGGGGTGCTCACCCTGTGGTCTATGTGGGTCCTAATGCCCCAGTATAGTGATAGGGATAGTATACTATTAAAAGGTGCCGACTTTCTGATGAGATGTAAAACCGAGGTCCTGACTCAATGTGGTCAATAAAAATCCCAGGGCATTTCTCGAAAAGTGTAGGGGTATAACCCCGGCGTCCTGGCCAAATTTCCCATGCCTCCTAATAATCCCCATCTGTCAATTGGCTTCATTACTCTGCTCTCCTCCCTACTGATAGCTAATGTGTGGTGAGTGTTCTGGTGCATTATGGCTGCTGTCACATCATCCAAAGGAATGCTGCACATTGGTGGTGGTGGATGGGAGTCCCCATTACCTGTAAAGTGCTTTGAATGGAGTGTCCAGAAAAGTGCTATATAACTGTAAGCAATTATTATTACAATTCCACAGGACTAACATGGAGTTTCATCAATTGTGAGAAGGAATAAGGAAAAAGGCTTCAGTTTTAAAATATAATGTTTTAACCGTTTAAAAATATTGTAATATTAATAATCAAAACGAATAAGAAACTGTTGCACTACTTCAAATTTATTTTGATATAAAGGTATAGATGTAACCATCAAGTATCTCAATAATTAAAAACCGCCATAACAAACTCATCTGGGTGAATGAAGACGTCTTCTGATCTCTAGATATTAATGTACAGTATACTGTGTGTAAATACATGGGCCAATTAAGGCACCAACTTTTAATCATAATATGAAAGTATTTCTATTCTGAAATGTGTTTTCCATCAACTTCTCTGGGGTGGCACAAGGCTGCAGTGGTTAGCATCACCATCCTTTTGGGGTCAGTTCTGGACCTTGGGTGCTATGTGTGTGGAGTTTGCATGTTCTCCTCATTTTCCTCCTTTGGTTTCTTCCCACACTCCAGGGAAATACTGGTAGGTTAGTTGGCTTCTGGAAAAAATGACACTAGCTGTGAGTGTGTTTCTGTGTGCCTGCCCTGCAATGGACTGGCATCCTGTCTGAGGTATACCCTGCCCTTTGCCTATTGCCTTCCAGGATAAGCTTCTGCTTCTCCAGTGACCCTGAATTGGAAGAAAAAGTTAGAATATGGATGGATGGATCATTCTCTCTGTTTACATTACGGCAGAGGTCTCAGACAGTTCCTGGAGGGCTGTGTGTTTTCTATTTTTTTGTTTTAACCTGAGAAGTCAATTGAAAGACAGGATTTAAATAAATCCTCAGAGCTTGGTAGGAAGTATTATAATTACATAATTAGGTACAATGTACATAATTGTGCAATGACACCTGGATGTACAATTATGTACATTCTGTATTTTATGAGTACATGATTAGGTACTATTATGCTTCTAATGAAATAATGAAATTACAGCATGTAGATTGTGGGTGGAACAAAGAAGATACAAGACTCTTACAACTCAGTTTGAAGCCCTACATTAAAGAATGAGACCTTTATCTTGCTATTGTACACTGTTGTTGAGTGTGAAAATGTCTTGATTCATGAACTGTGTAATATCATTCAATTCCCTCACTACTTGAGTGAATTTCTGAGAAATTTCAAAGAATTTCAGAGCACAACTTACTTCATTGCTGCTATGCAATGTTCATTGCTGCAATGCTTTGCAAAGTGGTCTGATTCTAAACATGCTTTTCATAAGCAACTGAATGAAAAGGGTTTATAATTGTGTTATATTTTAATTTCAGAGTTTACAAGGACACACTCAATAGAAGGAGAGTCTAATGGGCTTCAGGGTCACTGAGCAGGAAATTGCACTGTATTAAACCCCGGGGCTCTACGCTATGTGTTGGGAGGTCAGGGTTGGGGAAATGTTCTGCTTAACTATCTGTCTTTTGTTTAATGTTTATAAGGTTATAGCATCCAGGTAATGCAGACACTAGCCCTGGATGTGATCAATTATGTGGTTTGTTCGTAGGTACACCAAGAGGTAGGGGATACAGTATGATCCGGCTTGAAACTGTTTGAGGGACAACAGCCTGACCATGAGGATGAGGTTAAGTGAGCACATTGGCCGCCCCCCAGGACAGTGATGAGGTGAAGCAGGGGGATGTAAATAAAACAGGTACAGTAGGTCACAGAGGTGTTCATTCATTTATACCAAGGCAGAATGCCAGGTCTGATGTTGTCTCTTCCACGTGTTCACTTCTGTCACCATCAATCTTCGGCCTCTATCAGTCCACTGCTGGAAGAGAAATATCCCAAGACTCTTCTCCAAAGTTCTGTTGTTCTCTCTCTGAACAATAAACCCACTTTATCTTTTCATCTTTCAGAAGACCTGTCTCTTGGCTGCTCTTGGTCTCCTGGGAGCCAATGACATATTTCTTTGGCCTAACAAGAAACCATCCTATTCAATATGTGTCCAGCTTTCACCATTTTAGTGTCTTGACTCTTGTAATGATGTTCTTGTTTGTGTACTCAGACTATTAATTATTTTGCTGTCATCTTTTTTTTAATTTCAAGCATATATCTTATATTATATTCTGTGTGTTCTTTAAGCTGTCTGTGGTTTCCAAATCAAATTTTAGTCATGTTTCACATCCATATGCTAATACAGGCAGGACTTATTAGTCAAAGAATCGTTATTTAATAAGACAAGGGTATTAAAAATAGACCCAGGCTATTTAAATCTGTTGTAAGAGTGATTTCTATATCAGGGTTTTTAAAGAAATTTGCAAAGAGTGATTAATATCATGAGCGATGGCAGCAATGATGTTTAAATAAATTTATGCCGCACAGAAATGTTAAGCAGTACAATCCAATTAATTTGGAACAGTGTGACATGAGGCATCCACGGAGCATTTCTGAACCTGTGTCCCTGATGGTTTTAAATGAATGGATAATGGTTGATCTTGTCAAATATTTTTGCCAACACTACATTTTGAAGAAATGTCACTTCCTCAGACACAAAATAATGCATTGACATCTCATGTCATATCTAGCATATTTCCCCCAAATATACAGTAATTGTCATAGCAGAGAATATGGTTATTTCAACTGCAGCATTAAATACTACAGTATGTGCTGATTGAAACAACAACAACAACAACAACATAATGATAAATCTGTTGAGTCACTCTTAAGGGATATACAGTATTGAGGAATCACTCTTGTGCACCACTTGTGCAGTGGTGTTAGAGTGACAAGTGTAGTAAGTGTCAACAGAAAGAAATAAGACAGAGACAGAGAAATAAAGATGGCTGTGAGCCCAAGAGGCAGGGCATGAGCGGGTATTTTTTTATTTTTAATTAAAAAAACATAATTCCCAAAGATCTGTACAAAGAACAGAAAAAGTTTAACATGGGGCAAAAGATAATTCTTGTATTTGCAATTGCTCTTCTTGCATGACATTCAAAAAGGTATAATAAAACAGAAACAAAAATCTCTACTCTATTTCTCATAGTAAACACCTTAATCTTTTGTCTATGATAGACTTTGTCATCTTCAAAATTAATACAATATATTGTCCGGGCTATAAGAGAGAGACTCAGATTTTCAAGCCTACAGTGGCACATGGCTGCCTGTGTAACACAGGCCTTATGAACTGATGCACAGAAGCAGATTACCACATGTCAATATCCCTACTGCTTTTCACAGATGATTTTTGCATCCAAGTCAGCCCAATATTGACAGGTGATGTAGTTTTGTATAGCATGCAGTAGGCTCTCAAAAACTCTTTTGAATCACAAAGAGGGAACAAATGGAAGTATCCATGCAGTTGGAAATCTATGTACAGTAGAGACACATACAGTAAATGTCCAGTATAGTGAATGGGCCAGGACAGACTGGAGAACTTATGTGTGCATAAGTGTTTTGATGTGCACTAGTCTGAGGAACATTTTGAAATGCACCAGATCCAGGATGGACCTTGAGTTGAGTCTGCTATTCTTTTTAGCACCATAAAAGCTTTTTGAATATCAGCTCTTCTACAGCTGTGGGAACCTGTGTAACCTCCTGGGTAGTGAATTTGGCAGAAAGTGCTTTTATCTTCAGGGTGCGAAAAGAGACAGGGAATTGAGACTGAACCATCTTCAATTGTAGCTAATGAACATTTTCCCTATTGGAACAATTTTCAATGAATGCAGATTAAATCAGATTGTGGACTTGATGCAATCTCCCAAGCATGTCTTCTGAGACTGTGAAGTCCCCCCACTTCCCCTAAGTAAAATGAGAATTGTGTAGCTTAGGTAATTTGATTAAGAAAATTTGAATATAAGTTTGCTTTTGTACATACCCAGGAAAGGTAGAAAGGGCAGGGCTAAGACATAAGGATCCTCCAATCAAGAAGTGGACCTACAGTTAAAAGGACATTTTAATATGTAAATGACATGCTGGCTTTTATGGTTTGAACAAAAACATAAAAGCTGAGCTATTGTGACTACCAACATGTTCCTGTTCACATTACTGTAGATCAACTCCAAGGCTGTACCTCACTGTGAACACAATCAATGATAAAAGATGGTTTTCTTGATATTTCTGCTTTTTGGTATTTTCCTAAATGCAATAGGTAAGTCTGCTAACTTTGTTACTGGATTTTTACAACTAGTCATTGAGTCACACCAGTTGGTCTAGTTTCATTTCTCCAAATGTACATTTGATATGTTCACCTCAATGTTCTACTGTATTTCAAGCTTTGAGCTTTTATAGCCTAGAGACAGAATTTTATTCTTTGGATGAAATGGAAAACAAAGACAAATATTCCAAAAACCTTTCCAAACCTTAAAATATATTTGGAGCATTTTAAATAGCAAAACCATTAGGTACTTTACCATTGTTCATATGTATAATTTATAAACTTGATACTGTAAATGCTGTATATACAGTATATAACATGGTATTAATGGTACTGTAAATGTGTGTCAGTTAAATATTTGGCATGGTTTTAAGCTGCTATATTCTATAATATAATATTAAAAAAAGGAGACTGAAAATATTTCACCTACAGTCCAATTACCAGCATGCTTAAAGAATAAATTGAGAGATATAGCTTAATGTTTGTAGATCATTAACTGAGAATTAACATGAATACATTTGATTAAGAAATAAAATGCATCTGAAAATGAGTCAGTACTTGTGGCTTGCATATTATTTGTGCTTTTTTGGTAAGCGAAAATCAGACTGAACTGTTTTCAGGCACCGGCGAAGAAGTGAAATCACTTTCAGAGATTCTCGCCCCCATCTTTCTGCTTTGGAGATTCGTTTTGAACTTCAGGAAATACCACAAAAGAGGTGTTTACGGGTTTTAAGACATTCCTTGAGAATAGTTTCAGTATTAGTGTTAGCATAGTGCACAGTCAAAAGAATGCCACTGCTGGTCTGCACATCACAGAAATGCTGTCCGATTGCCTTGGACAGTAGCACTGGGGATGAATCCTTTCCTTTCTCTCCTTCCATCTATCCCACATCTTCCAATTCAGGGTCATGGGATAGCTGGACCCTATCCCAGCAAGCAACGCTGGGATTGCAGTCCATCGCAGGACAAACAGACATAGACATGCACACACTCACACCTACCAGTTTGTCTTTGGACTGTGGTAAGAAACTGGAGCCCCCAGGGAAAACCCTTGCAAATACAGAGAACAGCATCCAAACTTCACACAGACAGTGCCCTAGGTATAGGTATAGGCCCTAGGTATAGGTCCATAATAATAAGTGTTTTTCTGGACATTCCACTCAAAGCACTTTACAGGTAATGGGGACTCCCTCCTTCCACCCCCAATGTGCAGTACCCACTTGGATGATGTAACGGCAGCCAAAGTGCACACAGTATGCTCACCACATATCAGCTATCTGTGTGGAGGAGAACAGAGTGGTGAAGCCAGTTCACAGATGGGACATATTAGGAGGCCATGATTGGTAAAGTCCAATGGGAAATTTGGCCAGGACACCAGGGTAACAACACTACCCTTTTTGAGAAAGGCCCTGGAATTTTTAATGACTACAGAGAGTCAAGACCTCAGTTTTACATCTCATCCCAAGGATGGCACCTTTTTATAGTATACTATCCCTGTCACTGGGGCATAAGGACCACATAGTGAGTGCCCCCTGCTGACCCCTCTTCCAGTCGCAAGTTTTTCCCAGGAGGTCTCCCATCCAGGTACTGACCAGGCTCACAGCTGTTTAGCTTAAGTGGGTTGTTAGTTGTTAGTTGCAGGGTTATATGGCTTATGGCAATTAAAACCTACGCACACTCTCCTCTCTGCTCTGAAAGGTAATTGGTAACCATTCTAGTTATGAAAGCCATGAGCTAATAATAATCAATTCCCAGGCACCTCTTTAATACTTTTAGTCCCAAAGGATGCCAAAGTGCTTTCCACTCACTTCAATCGCACCTGAAGTGCTGAACCCCCCAGGGTGACAGACATTGTGTGCCAGCAGCCCCACTACACAAAAGGACAGAAAAGTGAGAAAATCCTTATCCCATCGAATTAAAAAGAAGCCTATGTTAATATCTCTATTTTTTCAAAAAGTACTATTTGATCTATACTACTGTACTTACAATAGTAATTTGGTTTTTCCATCTCAGGTCTGAATAGGTCCCTTATTACCTACAGCAGCTACTGGAATCTTAAGGCTATAAAGTAATAATGCTGCTGTCATTTAAGATATGGAAGGGTGAGGCAAATAAATCACCTTGTCTATTAATAAATGATCAGATGTGGGCCTAATCACTTTGAGACAGAGTGGGGAGATGGTGAATGAGTGGTCAGGCAAACTGTGCACCAATCTTTATTTGACTCCATGCTTTATAGGACTGTAAACTTTAATGACTCTTAAAACTGAAGGTTACTTTTGGATGTATGATGAAGCCTCTGCTACCAGGTGTGCATCTTAGTCCTTGACATATTTTTTATCCAATGACATAGTGAGTAAATCTAGCTGTGGGCTACACAGGTAAATTCTGAATTACCTTCTAAAAGACCTTCAAATTAGAAGCCAATCAGTTATTGCAGAGTAACAAGTTATTTATATGGACTCGGAGTAATGGCTGAAACAGTCAATATATGCTTGATTGTAAATCAGAAATCGCTGAAGGTATACTTGAGTGAGTAAGTGAGGCAGTATTGAAGTAAGAGGCCTGTTTGTCCCTGACTCTGACAAGTGCTGATATTCTACCCAAGAGAAGAGGGAAGCCGTCATTAGATAGTAAAGGATATTTTCTGTACTTTATGTTTGGTTAGATTTTATTACTTTAAATCTGTGGTTATTGGCCTATGTTTCTGTTCAATACTGCAAACTATTTACAGTTGTAAGAAAAAGTTTGTGAACCCCAAGGAATTATATGGATTTCTGCATGAATGACTCCTAAAATGTGATCTGATCTTCATCTAAGTCCTAATAATAAATTGTCACGATTATAGTCCCTCCTCCTTAAGGGTGCTCCGGCCCTTTCACTTTAGACTTGATTATGTGCACCTGACCCCTGTTCCCAGTCCACCTTAAAAGCCAGGCGCTGACGTTCTTCAGGGCTTTGCATCTGATTTCCGTATCGTGCGAGTCCGGAATCTGGAAGCGCCTGGTCCCGTTAAGGTTTTAATCTCTGTTCTCGTTCCCTGTCCGCCGGTTCTGACCCGGTTCATGTTTTTAATTCCTTGTTGGATGGATCACCTGGCTATGGATTTATTCTTGTGTTTTTGGATTACCCTCTGGATTACTTTTGGATTGTTTGCCTTGGCCACACCTCCCCCGTGCAACAGCGCACTTTGGACACGCCCCCCTGTTTTCATCCCCGTATTCCTGCATGACTTTTTCCTAGTATTTCCTCACAATTTTGGATTGTGTCGTCCGCATAGGGTCTGAAAAGAACTGATCGTTACATAAATACAGTCTTATTTAACAAACAACACACTAAACATTTTGCATTGCTACAGTATCTTTATTGAACAAATGGTTTAAACAATCAAGGTCATTGATGGACAAAAATGTGTGAACCTCTAGGATAATTACATCTTGAAAAGAGGGTACTTGGAGTTGGGTGTTCCAATCAATGAGTCAGGTGTTCAAATCTAAAGAGATTTCAGAGGACCTCAGAAGAAGAGTTATTGACACTCGTAACACTGGAAAGGGATACAAAAGGATTTCTAAGGACTTGGGCCTCCATCAGTCCACAGTCAGGCAGATTTACAAATGGAAGAAATTCAGCACCGTTGCTACTCTCACTAGGAGTGGGCATCCTACAAAGATCAGTGCAAGGGCATGCCATACAATCCTCAAACAGAACCCTAGGATGACAGCTTAGGATCTGCAGGCATCTCTTGCATTTGATAATGTCTGGTGTTGTGTGTGTTGTTTGTTAAATAAGACTGTCTTTATTTATTATTATCCCTTAGATGAAGATCAGATCACAATTCCAGAGGGTCTCAAACATTTTGTCACAACTGTAGAAAGCATGGTCCCACATTTGTCAGAAATTTGCACTTCACAATTTGCAAAAACAATTTCCAAAGTTTTTAAAAGACAACGTGGTGAATGCAAGATTGTTGTTATTCCTTTTATCTTTTTTGCATTTTTAAATGGCAGAAATAAACTAAATGTAATGGAGCAGTAGTTAGTATTTAGGCCATGCAGCAATGGGGTCTATACCTATGTTTCTCTATGTTTCATGCTCTTATGGGTTTCCTCTGGGTGCCGTGGTTTACTCCTACACTATACAGATGGTTAATTGGTTTCCGGAAAAATTGGCCCTGCTTTGTGTGTGTGTCTGTCTGCTCTGCAATAGACTGGAGTCTGGTCCAGGGTGTATCCAACCCTGCACCTGTTGCTTGCCAGGACAGACTCTGGCTCCCCGACAAGGTTAGAAAATGGATGTAATGGAACTTAAAGCCTTTCCCACCCAATTACATTTTAAAAACTTGATTACATCAAAAACCATTCATGTTACATTTTCAAATTCCTGCCTACAGAATAAGCAATGATGGCAACCTGCAGTAGTTTTAGTTAACCCTCTGTAGGGTTTTTGCTAAAATAAAAAGAGTTTTGTTTTGAAAACTGGATGGGGGTTTAATTAACCCATAAAACTAAATATCACATTTAATTTAACATGAGCTCACTAATCCAAATGAACCCTTTTTAATACTTGTAGCAATTTTCCCAAACCACTTTTCTTGCTGTGCAGTAAATTTACATTTTGTCTCATATATGACAGGAAACTGATATAGTTAAAACCCATTTTCTGTTAATAAGTGACACTTCCCATAGTTCATATTCATAAAATTGAACGTGTCGTTTTTTAACGGCTATTGTGGCTTTAGTTACACGAGAGGAAGTTTACCCCGGGTTGCCTGACTCAATGACTGCAGTCAAAATGGAAAGAAAGGTTTGGTTTCAAAATCTGTCATAAACTGCTGCTTGGATTAAGTGTTTTTTACAAATTTCTTGTGAGAACTGAAAGAGAGATTGTGGGTTGGGTTTCTGTGCCAGACATGCTAATAATATTTTTTTTCAATGGCATACATTTTTCTAAAGGCATGATCGGCTGGCATTCCTTTTAGCAGTAATGTGGTTTAC